TGAAAGCATTCCCTTCACAAACAGGAACCAGACAAGAATGCCCTTTATCACCATTCCTATTCAATATTGTGTTGGAAGTCTTAGCCAGAGCTATAAGGCAAGAAAGGGAAATTGATATGCAAACATCAGTTAGGTTCCTTTATACTAATAAAGACAGCTCTGAAAAGAAAATTAGGAAAACAATACCATTTACAGTAGTCACCTAAAAGATGAATTTAGGAATGACTCTAACTGGGGAAACAAAAGACCTATACTACAAAACACTACTACAAGAAATCAAAAAAGACTTACAAAAATGAAACAATAATATACAGTGCTCATGAACTGGAAGACTTAACATTGTGAAACTGTCAATACTATCCAAAGCAACCTACAGATAAAAAGCAATCCCAATCCAGAGTTTGCAAAAACAAACTCAACATGGATTGAAGATCCAAATGTAAAACCTAAAACTATAAAGATCATCAAAGAAAAAACAGGGACAAAGTTAGGGTATAAATACACTATCCAACATTGTAAGAAATACAAAAAGAGTAGAAGGCAAAATAGATAGCTGGAATGACCTACAAATTAGACATTTATGTGCATACAAAGACTTCCTCATAAGAGTAGAAAGGGAGCCCACAGAATGGGGAAAATTTTTTTTTGCAATGAAATATCAGACCAGGGGCTATTGTCTAAAATTTGTAGAGAAATGCAACACCTCTATAAGAAAAAAAACAGATGATCTAATTGAAAAATGGACACAGGACATGAATAGACACTTCTCCAAGAAAAACATTCAGGCAGCCAACAAACAAGAAGAAATGTTCATGATCAATAGCAATTGTTGTTGTTAAGTGCCATTGAGGCAGTTCCAACTCATAGAGACCCTGTATAGGGTTTCCAAGGAGGGGTGGTGCATTTGAATCACAGATTTTGTGATTCAAACTGACCTTTTGGTCCAGTGCTTTATCTCTTATTAATAGCAAACTTTAAAAAAATAGAATACAACAAATGCTGGTGAGAGTGTGGAGAGACTGGGACCCTCCTATATTGCTGGGGGACTGGAGAAAACAGTATGGTGCTTCCTCCAAAAGTTGGAAATAGGAATACCTTATGATCCAGCAATCCCTCTACTTAATATATATCCACAAGAAATACGAGCCATTAGGGATGGAGACAGAGACGATGATGTGGACAAATGGAGCAGCTGGGGACACTGGACTCAGGGAAGGAGAGGGACTGTGTGCTGATGTCCGGGGGCACGGGCCTGTGGGGTGTACCCCTTGGTTATTTGATGGTGCATGGAGGGAACTGTGATCATTGCAGTGAAACAAAATACGGTAAGATGAATGTAAAATTGATTTTCTCCCATGTAAACCCACATAATTCACAATAAAAACTTAAAAAAAATAAATAAATAAAGAAGCTGAGCAGCAGCTGTTGGAAGTTAAAAAAAAAAAAGAAATACGAGCCAGGACACGAATAATATATGTATACCAATGCTCGTTGCTCATTACAGCATTATTCACAATAGCAAAAAAATGCAGACAGCCTTAATACCCTTCAGTGGAAAAATGAATAAACAAACTGGTACATACGCACAATGGAATACTATGCAACGTTGCAGAATGATGATGACTCTGCGAAACACCTCATAACATGGATGAATATGGAGGACATTATGCTGAGTGAAATAAGCCAATCACAAAAGGGCAAATATTGTATGAGATCATTATTGTAAAAACTTACGAAAAGGTTTTCATACTAAAAGGAACATTCTTTGATGGTTAACAGGGGTGGGAGGGAAGGGAGAGTAAATCACATGCTAGCTGGAGCGACAGGGAGGGCAATTTAGAAAAAGAGGAAAGTTTAGTAAAAGTTTAAGATTTGAAATGACATGAGTGCAAACTGAAATTTTCAATTTAACTAAGAGACCAAAAATGTTTTTTTTTTCAGCTACTGTATTATTGTTCTAAGGAGTACGGTGGATCTGTAATATAAACAGTGGACTGGGAACCATGAGGGCAGCGGTTCGTGACCACCAGCCGCTCCATGGAGAAATATGAAGTTTTCTGCTCCCGCAAAGAGTTACAGCCTGGGAAATCCCAGGGTCATTATGAATCAGAACTGACTCTACGGCACTTAAACAATACATAATTGTTCTAAATTCACAAATGTGAATTCATCTCTGCCCTCCTTTATTTCCAACATGAGTAACAAGATACACACAAGGTATGGGTGACCAGACCAAGAAGGGGCATCTGTGAGCCAACCTGTTAGAATTCCATCAAGTTGTTCCACCATAAACTTCGCATCTTCTTCAGTGAAGCACATAGGTGGTTTGATTTTAAGCACGTTTCTGTGCGGTCCATCAGCACTGAGAAGCACTCGTTTTTCTTTCATCCTAAGTCATTCAGACAATACATGTGAGTGCACACAAATGGTGTCTAAGATTGTTCAAAAACACTGTGAACAAAGAGTCACTTGGTGTTCTGCATGCAAGAACCCCACTTTTATACACACTGTGCATGCATCTTAAACATCCCTTTATTTAGAGGTTGGTGTTAAGTGCCGTGAGTCGGTTCTGACCCATAATGACCCTCTGGAGGGTTTCCAAGGAGCAACTGGTGAGCTTGAACCACCAACCTTGCAGTTCAAACCGACTTTGCAGTCTAGCGCATTAACCCACAGCGCCATACCAGGTCTCCTTATTTAGAGGTGGAAGGAAGTAACACAAAATTTTCAAGTGGGTGAGTCTTGGTGTGGGGGTAGATTTACTTGTAGATGATGTGCTGAGCCTCAGCTGTGGCGGGGGTCCTTTTCTGCTGATCCTTCACTAAGTCAATCCCAATAAACAGGCCAATACCCCTGAGGGAGGGAAATAAAGAAAACAACACATGTTCCACTAAGCACTGCATTGTTAAAAAAATTAGCATGGTCCCCAACCTACAGTTTAATTTGCAGCCAAATGTGATGTTATTGATTCGGATTGACCCAAAATATCAAGTCTGTATGTACCGTTTCTAGTTTTTGAAATGTATTAGTTCTTTTCCATGCAGGTTTTGGTTTCATTAATTCATTAATTTTTCTTTAATTATAAAAGAAAAGTTCTAAAAACATGCCATTTAGTTCCTCGGGACAACAGGACGACAAATGTCTATTAATATCTATGAATGTCCAGTTTTCCGGGGTAGCATTTTACATAAATTTTAACAGGTAATTTAAAATTATCCATTAAAAATTAATACTTCGCTGTTGTTGTTGTTGTTGCTGTTAAGTACCAGCGAGTCGGTTCCGACCCATAGTGACCCTGTATAGGAGGAGCAGCTGGTGAGTTTGAACTGTCGACCTTGAGGTTCAAACCAATCTTGCAATCCAGCTCATTAACCCACAGTGGTGGTGGTGGTTATGTACCAGAGAGTGGATTCCAACTCATAGTGACCCTGTATAGGGTTTCCGAGGCTGTAAATCTTTATGGGAGCAGAAAGCCTCATCTTTCTCCTGTGGACCAGCCGGTAGATTCAAACTGCCGACCTTGTGGTTCACAGCCTGATTCGTAACCACTATGCTACCAGAGCTCCTTAACCCACAGTGCCACACCAGAATTATTTTAAGTTCCTTTATCTTTCAATATTTTGAGTGATGAAATTATTCCAATTTTATTTTTTTGAAAATTAAAGAGGTAGACTAGAAAGGATGGATCCTCAAACACTAATAGTGGTGATATCAACGTTCTGGCTTATGAAAGATTTTTGCTTTCCAAGACTTTCTGTGTTTTCTAGAAATCATTTTAGATTTATAAAGTAAAATATAAGTGATTTCATTTTGGAAAAATGAATAACTATAGAATGACATCATGATAAGCCTACCTGATATCGCCTATCAAAGTATGTTTAGCCTTCTGTTTATGCAGTAACTCAGTAAGGTAATCCCCTACTCTGGTAGCATTTCCTCGAAGGTCTTCATTTTCAATTATATCCAGGACAGTGAGGCCAATAGCACAAGACACTGGATTTCCTCCATACTGTAGAAAAAGATGAATGAAAAAAACCACAATAGTAGAATTAGTGACATTACTTTACCCATGAGAAATTTGCCTCAGATATAAGCAAGTGAAAACATACTTCTAATAAAATTTTCTTTTAAGACATTGTTTCTTAGAATATATCATGATCACTCATTCAAGACTGAGTGAAAATTCATCTCAAATTATATTCTCCATGCAGCATAACTAGTATAAAGGACTCTCGGGGAATTTATTTATTCATTCAAACAATGACAAGAAAATGACACAGTGAGTTGGGAGTTCAGGGTTTTGGAATATGGTTCAGTGAGAAACAAATACAGGTTTCTGTCCTTGAAGAATTTTGTAAAAACAGCTAAGCAATGATATTTCCTCCAAATAATTTATGTACGGACATTTGAATTTTCTTTGACTAACAAGTTCTGCTATGCATGAACTGTAATAAATTTCCCAAGTTTAAAGACTATGATTTTGAGGGGGGTAAATACAAGCAAATAAAATTTCCTAAACATAAAAAATCATTATCTCTATGACAACCATATAATATAGATGGTATTTGAATCATCTAAGTACTTTGAAGGTGTTTTGGGAATTTAAATATGCATGATACAAAACACATGAAGATTTTATTATCTGTTAATGAAAATATCATATCCTCTAGAGTTTAGCTGGGTTTACTTTCTATCTATCATAGAAACAATTAGTGAGAATGTTTTAGGAGGGGAAATGTACACAAGGACTAATCCAGGGAGAATTATGCCAGATAGAATGAAATTTGATTAGATCAAGGTCCTGGAGGGGTTATCTATTTTTCATCACATTGGCAAGAAGTGTAAGAACATCTATTGATTTCTTCTTCTTCACTTTTAAACTCGCAGACCAAAATTTACCGTATTGAAATACTCCATTCCAGAGGTACTGAAGGCTTCTGCAATTTCTTTGGTTGTCACCACACAAGCCATTGGGTGGCCATTGCCCATTGGTTTCCCCATTGTGACGATGTCAGGGACAAAGTCTTCACCATACATTTGGAAGCTCCAGAAACATTTCCCAACTCGACCGAAGCCTACCTGAACTTCATCAGCTATAAATACTCCCCCTGCTCCATGTATGTATCTGAAAAACAAAGGAATAGTTTAATGTCTTCAGGTCACAGAGTTTCCAAACCTATCCATAAAAGTTCAGAGGGCTGGAGCAGAGTCCTAAGAATCATAGCAGCTATTTTTGTGTCAAAGTAGAATTGTGCGCCATAGGATTTACAATGGCTGATTTTCTAAAAAGCAGATTGCCTTTTGGTTAGCAGCTAAGGATGTTACCCATTTGCAACACCCAGGAACTTCACGGACCAAGTAATAGCCCTTTATTTGCTGGCTCTTGGGAAGGTGGAAGAATGTCTGGGCTGCTGGAATGGCTATTTACTAGGGAATTTGTAAGTTTTTCAGTAGTTTAAAAACCAGTATGGCCCAATAGAATTGTACCTGCCTAAGTTTTTAGTAGACGAAAAAGTGTCACAATGCCCTCAGTTTGACCAAAAATATTCATGTCAAGTACATACTTTGCCACTTTCTGGAAGTAGCCTGCTGGAGGAATTATTTGTCCACCACAACTCTGCATGGATTCAGCAATAAAGGCAGCAATCTACACAAGAGAAGATGAGGTCAAATCCATTAGGTCCCCCAGCTACTCACTTTAAAAAAACAGAATTTGTTACAGAGTAGGGTATTTCAGGAAACTTAAAAGTAGGCCATTTGATTAAAAAGAAAGCAAGGAGAAAAGAGGAAAAAAGCTGGCTATGATGTAAAAGCTAGTGGTCTGAAGCATTCGTTTCTGAAATTTTAGAGACTCAAAGGAAACTACCATGAGAAATGGAGATGAGATGTTGCCTTCCATTTCTCCAAAATTAATTTGAATGCAGTGTTTCGTTGTTGTTGTTGTTGTTGTTAAGTGCCTGTGTGTGGGTTCTGACTCACAGTGACCTTGAATAGGGTTTCTGAGGAGCGGCTGGTGGGCAGCGTTTATCCTACAATGTTTCTGATATGAACTTTTAAAAAATTACCTAGATTATAAAAGCATCAGTGGGCACTTGCTTTCTTAGCCTGGAGAAAAAGGACTATCTGAAGATGGGATTTGCCCTAAGGAAATGGAAGGATGTAGCCAAATGACTACAATTCCTGTGCTAAAATTCTAATTTTGAACTAGGTTTATCTCCACAGAACTAAGAGGTTCACAAAGGGAACTAGACATGAAGTGTTCTAGAGGCTAAGAAAGGAAAAGTAGAAAATAGATAACACTTTAGTAAGAGGAGAAAGTTCAGACAGTATGAATTAAGAAGTCAGTAGAACCAAGACCGTAATTCTGACTACTCTTGTACACTGTATGACTTGGGTTACGGCCTTCGCTTCTCAGTTAGATTACTGATCTAACTAACGCTATTGGGCTAAAGAGATTTCTGCTATAAGATGTTACAATTTTACAAGTTTATCAACCATTTTTTTAGGATCTGTTGGTGCTGTGGGTTAATGCAAAGTTGGTTTGAATCACAAGTCGGTGGTTCAAACCCACCAGATGCTCCTCAGAATCCCTATACAGGGTTGCAACTGACTCGATGGCACTTAACAACAACATACATGTGTGTGTTGTTTTAAGCATTGTTAACATCATTGAGTATCTCTTAATCTTACTTCTTGAAGACAATTCTTGTTCCTTAAGGGACAGCATCAATCCAATAGCTATCAAATACTAATGTTCTAAAAAAATTATGCAAATTCTTTTATTAGCAAAAAGTTCAGATGGTTTTGTTAATGCAAACTTTTTCCTGTGGTTACTGCTGGTTCAAATAAGAATGGGCTATATGTGACAAGGAAAGAAGTATGAAGTTCCCACAACAGGGAGCGCTTTCGGTCATTTTTTTTTTTTTTTCTCTGCACAGAGAGATTGCACAGGAAACTATAAAAATCAATGGGTTGGGAGGAAAAAGAAAGTTGAGAAATACAAATAATGTTCTAGTCATTAAGACAAAAATATTTGAATTGGATAAAGAAAAAATCACTTTTTTTCTCAAGAAAGAGTCTTTTCACCGACATGCTTATACCATAATCCAGTTTAAAGGTAAAGTATATATTAAGTTGCAATAAAACTTCACATAACTCACCCCCAAATGGGCTGAGAACCAGGTTATAATAATTGACAAAAAGGAAATCCCTTTTCCTTCTCTCAAGAATTTGGGTTCTGTCTTAGAAGTCCAGGCTTAGGTTGGAAGATCATTTTTCTGTCTTAGCCTACCCAGTATAGACCATCCCCAGGTTCCATGGTTCAGGAAGGCTGAATTCGTTCAGGGGAAGTCCCCAAGTCTACTGTGTGGGTGAAGAACCTGCATTGGTCCCAAAGGGGTGGGTTATTCAATAAGCAAGGTAATCATGGTTTATTTGTGCTGGTTTACTAATCTGTAGTGAACAGTTTCACCTGTTTTTCTGGTGAAATCCATAGGAAATTTTACAATAGATTAGTAAGTAAGCCTGTGTTTCCTTGCTTATTGGGTACTCCTTCCCTGTCAGGGACTATAAATTTGAAGAGTCCTTGAGTCTGTAGGAAGGTAGTATGGGGTTGGGAGGAAAACAGATACCAGTCATATCTAGAAGCAGAATCTTTGAAGTGGTGAAAAAATGTGAAATTGTTCACTACAGATTGGTTACATAAGCACAGGTAAACTCATGCTTACCTTGTTTAGTAGGTAGTCAGACGTAATGACACTGGGTCCTGAGGTTCCAGGGACACTCTGCCTCTTCCGTTCCCTTCCCTTCCCCATACTCATTCCAGGTGCTTTTATCAGCTGGAACACTTAGTACTTTCTTCATTCCCTGGTTTCCTAACTCTCTAGACTAGACCTTTACCCTATTGGGAAGTCAGAATTAGGCTATCAGGGAAAGAATTATAGTGATTTCATTGCCAGCATAAATAATATATAGACAGTCTTAAAGTATGATTATAATAATATACTTTTTGGAATACAG